ATTCTCTACCCCCCACTACCCCCCCACCCCCCGGTTTGGAATAAAAGAGTTCCTTCCCGCCGCCTTGGGTCGGGAGCTCTCAGCTGCCAGAGCACCCAGGGCAGCAGGGCCGGGCTTTGGGGAGACCCCCAAGTGCAGAGAAGAGGTGTTCCCGGGGCCCTGAAACCTTCCAGACCCACTCAGTGTAAACCGCCACGGGTTTGTGTCAACATCCTCGGCCGGAGACTGGCGGCGGCTGGGGACCGGCTCCGTCTGCGAGACGGAAAGATGGAGGGGGGCGGGGAAAGTAGGGTCCATGGGGTAGGCAGAGGGACCTTCTGGAGGAAATCCCGAGAGGCCTCTTGGGGGTCCGTGAGCACTAAGCAAGGCCTGTCTGGAGAGGACCAGAATTAGGCGCTGCAGGGCGCGCACGACGAGCGTGGGGCCAGGTAGAGGTGGGGCGCTTCGCCATCCGTGCTGCGCTCTCGACGCCCACCCGGCCCCCTCTCAAGCCCACGGCTGCAGCGCAGTGGGTGTGTTGCGGGGGCGACGCGAAGGCGTGGGCGGCCGACCACGCCAGCTCTTCCCTACCCCACTCAGCTACTCCGCAGCTCCTCGTCGCCCTCCTCCAATTTCGGGTGGGACATGGAGGGGGTCACATCTTGTGACTCATCCCCTCTTCCATCCCCACCCCCCGCTGGGGCCCTGGAAGGGAAGGCTTAGAGACTCGGCTGTGGCTCTCCCGTTTCCACAGCAACCGTGCGGTTGTTTTTGCGAATCCACTTCAGTCATCACTTTTCGCCCCAGACTGCGGCCCGGGGTCTGAACCCTAGGGTGGGGTACCGCTGGGGGCACAGCCCTCCCCCTTCCTCGCGACTCCGAGAAGGTCAGCGCGGGCGGGCGGGGCGCGCTCCGGCAGCCCGGCCTCACTGGCCATCCAGTCCCCACCTGAAACCCCGCCTGCCACTCCGCCCCAGCGGAGCCAATCAACGCCCGATCTGCTCGGGATGAGGCGGGGCTTATGCAAATCGTGTCCCCTCCGAGAGACATAGTGATACAAGAGCTGGGAGGCGGCTCCGGTGCGGACCTCGGAGAGCCTGGCCGCCAGCCCGCGAGCCAGTCTCGGTCCCCGCGGCCCGCCGAGGCTCAGAGCCATCCAGCGACCCGGCGAGCGGCCTCAGGTAACGCGGGCGGGACCGGGCAGAGGCCCTTGTCCCCTCCCCCTCCATTCTCCTCTCCTGCCCCCCTCCTTCATCCTTGACCCCTGGTTCCCCCCATAGGCGGCAGCATCTGGAGGGCCGCCCCTGGGCAGGGGACTCCCACCCCAGTCCAGGCCCCATGGGTCCCAGGGAAGGGGGCACAGCTGCCTCCTTACCCCCAGCTCAGGTAAGAACACCCACTGCTCTAGCCCCCCAACACACACACACACACACACACACACACCTGGGGGGTGTGGTGTTGCTGGTGCTTGAGGAGGCTCCAATCACCCTTCCCCTTTGGAGATGGGTAGTTTGTCCAGCATCATGGCAACCTCCCGCCTCCACAGATAGCCCCCACCCACCCACACCATCCGCCCCCGCCAGCAGCTCGCTGTGCACTTCACCCCAGAAACAGCTTCCACCTCCACAGAGAGCCTACTCCCACTTCACGTTGTCCCCTCAGACTATCCCCACCTCCCACCCCTCAAGCTGACAGAGCTCACAGCATATCTAGAAGAGGAAAGAAGCGCCCCCCCTCCCCCAGTTCTCCTCCTCACACTCTCTCAACAGCAACACCACCCTCCATGGTCCCAGGGCTAGGCAGAGGCCCCATGTTTGGCCTCTTTCATCCTGGCTGGAGGATGAACCGGGGCACCACCCCCTAGCAGACCTGTCCGTCACTGCTGCTAAGGTCCCAGCCTTCCCCATTCCCCTCACGCCTCACAGGCACCAAGTCCTCTCATTCTACCTCTCAAACATCTCTAATTTGGGTCGTCTCTGGCCTTCTTGCGCCCAGTCGCTCCCGCTCTCCTGTCTTCCTGCTGTTCCACAAGGACCTGCCAAAGCTCCATGTGGACTGTGTCTCTCCTTCCCCTAGGGTGGCCTGAATCTGGAAGGCAGACGAGATGGGTTAAATCTTGCCTTTGCCTCAGCTGCTGTTTGCCTTTGGCCAAGTCACTTCCCTCTCTGATCCTTCATGAAATGGGGAAGGAGCAGGACAGAGGGGGGACTGGATGAGATGGTCTTGAACAGCCTTCGCAGCCCTGACGCGCTCTGGTTCTGTGGCTGATTATGAGCAAATGGGACCATTCACTCTTGCCCTGAACCATTAGGACATTTCAGAGAAGAGGCCTGAGGGGCGTTAGTCCTCACCAAGGGGACATTGCTTGTTACTCAGGCCTCCCCCTCCCACACGCTCTCCAGGCCCAGGCCCCTTCTCAGCTGTTAGGAGTCCCTCCCAGACCACCGGTCCATGTGGCATGGACAGTTCCAAGGTGGAGGTGGCCACTAGGGCCCGCCTTTTGTTTATCATGCCCTGCTCCTCGTTAAGGAGAGGGAGAAGACCTGGCTGCTGCCGCTATGGTTGCTGCTCAGAGAAGAGCAAAGGGAGCGGAGGAAAGAGGAAATCTCCTGACCAGGGAGCTGTTGTCACCATGGCAACCGTCTCAGCACCAGCTCCTCTGAAGCTGGGTGAGGGTGTGGGATTATTGCCTTCCTCAATCCCTCCCACCCTCACTGCCACTTCCTCATGTGAAGCCCAGGACCCCGAGCTCTGCCCTCTGGAAGAAGCCTCTGAGCACAGAGGAGCAGTGCCATCTCCTTCACAGCTGGAGGGCAGCCCTCAAGAGCTGGGCAGAGAAGCCTGCCCAGGTTGAGCAGGGCCTCAGCTCCAACAGAACATGCCATGCCCCCAAGGCCTTTGCCTTGCTACTGCTGGGCTGTGGTTGGCTTTGGGCGCATGCTTCCTTTCCCGGGTCTGGGTTCCATGGTCTCTGAAATGGGTGCAATGGCAGGAGAACACGGATAAACAAAAAAGCCTGACACCATTCCAAGGAGGAAGAAGGGGGCTCTGCCCCTCTCGTGGCATCCACCAAGGGACGTTCATTGAATTTCTCTGTGTTCCAGACACGGCCTTTGGGTCTCTGCAGGTGGTTCTGTGCAGCCACGGAGGGGGGAACAGGACCACTGTGGGGCAGCTCCAAGAGGGCAAACCTCGGAACGATGGGAAAAGTGCTTTTCTCACTCTCTGAGCTGCCCTAAAGCGGACTTGGTTATACGGAGAGGGGATAAGCTCTTTGCCATTGAGGAAAAGGCTTGAAGGACATTTTTGGGCTTGGTCCAAGGTTAAATACAAAGATCTCTTCCAAATCAAGTTCCATTCTGGAATTCTAGAGCACCGGGTGAGGGTCAGAGAGTTCTAGAGTCTACACTTGTGGGGCTCAGTTCCACGGCCCTCAAATGCTGAATCCATGCTGTTAACTGTCCAGTGTCCAGGCCAGGAGAGGCTGATCATAAGGAAGTGGGCTTCAGTCAGGCCTGAAGGCTGAGGAGAGCTGCATCTGCCCAGATGGGAAGAAAGGATATTAAGGGAAGGCAGCTATGCAATAGGGACATAGGTCCTGGCTGTGTGAAGACTAACTGGAAAGCATGTAGTTGTGAAGGGAGCAGTGGGAGGTAAGGCTAGACAGGTGGGCACCTTGGTGCCAGATTCTAGAGGATTTTAGAGTGTGAGGGGCCTCGTGGGCATGTCCCCTTCTAGCCTATGTCGTACTTCTGGGCAAAACCAGAAATGGCATTGCTTCAGAACAGAGAAGTCAGAAGAAAGGCATTCCCTCTGAGGCAGCTGAGCCCACGGGCATGGCTTAGCATGCAGCACAGGATCTCAGCCCCTCAGCTGTGCCCCTGGCCCTGACTATGGGGAGAGGGAGGACATGGTAAAAGTTTCAGGAGAACAACAGGACTTGGTGCCAGTTGGACCTAGGGAAAAGGAACAGGGGAAACTAAAAGTAATTAAAATTGAATTTTGCCCCTGGGACGAGGGAGGGAAGGAAGGAAGGGCTGATGGAGAGGGAAGATGGCCACAGGTTGAGGGTGTCTGGTTGTAGATGAGCTGAGTCAGAAGAGCTGGGCCATCCCAAGAGATGGATATTTCCTAGATGTCAGATATGGTGGCCTGGAGCTCAGTAAGATGGTCCCACTGAGGCCAAGAGGGAGATCAGAACTAGGGTTTTCCCAAAAGGCAGGCAGGAGTGGGGAAGGTCTGTACTGGACAAGAGTAGCCATGATTTGGAGAGGGTGGTCCAGGCATGTGGCATGGATTCAGCCTGGGTGCCATCTGGACTCTTCCACTGACCTGCTGTGTAACTCTGAGCCAGTTTTCTCCATTCTTGGGGTTCCAGTTTCCACTAAAATAAGGGGATATCTTAAAAGGACTGCCAGCTTTGACTGGCCATCTAAGAACAATAGAGGAAATGAAGAGAAATGAAGAAGGAGGCATAGTGTTCAGTGGGGCTGGGACCAAATTTGGGCTGGGAACAGGTATGGCCCCAGGAGATAGAGAATTGTGGGAAGGGAGCAGAGGACAGGGAGGAGGAAAAGGGCGAAGGCAAGAGCCACACAGACACCATGATACACACACACACACACACACACACACACACGTGCTCTGACAGATCTGCAGTCTCATAAATTGACGTGCTCCTACCCACACCCAGCCCCTTACACAGACACTCAGGCACATCCCCCAGGAGAATGCTGGAGAAGCTTCACCTCCCCTACTGGACACCTCTCTCTCTGGGTTCTCTAGCTTCCTTGACTATACCCCGAGGCTTCAGTGTGCTTTGGACTTGGGGAGGGATCAGCAGGGGACGTAGCCTGCCTTCTTCTGCCCATAGGTGTCCCAGAGACATCCTTGTGCCCAGGGTAGCCGTTTTGGACCCCACATTCCAGGTTCCTGAAGATGGCCTGCCTCTCCCCCACCCCGGCTTCTCCTGGGAGCATGGAGGATTCCTCATGCTCCGGGGGTGGTAGGTGGGGGAGGATGTTGCTACACCAGCTGATGCTTGGTCTTCCTCATGGCCCAGTGGAGGAGGCCCAGAGATATCCTGTAACTAACCTGAAGCCACGTAGCAAGGGAAGGGGCTTGGAAGAGACCAATATCAGATCTGGTTGTTCAGGGTGCTACTAGGAGTAAGGATTAAAAGCCACACTGGCATGTAGTGGGCTATGGACGTGAAATTCCTTCTGCTAGACTGATGACTTCCTTTTCCAGAGTATCTTCATGACAGGCTACCCTGGGGTTGGGGTCTGGTGCCCTTCCAAAAAGACTCCAGACAGGTCAAAGTTACCTCCCGGGGCCATGTCCTAGGAAACTCAGGCCCTGGAGGGATATTCCTCCCATGGAGGTCAGATAAGAGTGTCCATCTTCAGGGCCTGGCAAGGCCTCACTCCTGATGCATCCTGGGGAGGTCCTATACCTCCCTCTGCAAAAACTGCCTCTGTCACAGGCTACATGAGGGGCTTCTATTCCAGTGGGGGACTGACTCTTCATCCTCCCCAAGCCTGCTTTTCCACACCACCACCTCCATCCATTCAGCCCCAAATCTAAGCATCTGTCTCAACTTTTTTGTCCCTCTCACCCCCACATTCAGTCACCAAGCTTTGCTAGTGCCCCTCCTAACATGTCTCAATCCATCCACGTCATTCCACAGCCTCTGCCTTAGTGTCACCATCTCTCACCTGAACTATGCCGCACACCCCTCTCTGCTCTCTACTTTCCCCCACCCAGGCCATCTTGCGCACTGTAGCCAAAGGAAAGATTCTAAAACACATTCCTTCTCTCTCATCCCAGCATCTAGTTCAGGACCTGCCACTGTAAGCATTCTGTGTTTGTGGACTGAATGCTATCTTCCTAGCCCGTGCTTTAAAATCCCTATGGGTATAGGCCAAGCTCCTTGGCATGGATTGAAGGCCCTTGACAATCAGCCAGATAGCTCTTTGACCCAGTTATGAGTTATTGAAGTTTGGCCCGTATCTACTTTATCCCCGTCACTGGCACGGGACCTGGCACACACAGTCAGCCTCAGTAAATGCTCAGGGAATGAATGACTAATGAAAAGCAGGATGAGTCAGGGTCATCAATGCTATCAGCTAGGACTTCTATTTGTACAGAGGAAGGAGAGAGAGAAGCTTCCTGCTGGGATGGCCTGGAATGCCTTGAGGAAGAACTTGGGAGATGGTGCCAGGGGGACACACGAGGAACCTTCCTCAGGTCCCTGGGCATTGAAGAGCCTGCAGAGGCGGGTAGGGCCATGGGAGGAAAGCTCTAAATAGCAAGGAGAGGATTAAGACTCTATCCTAGGGGTGTAGGAAGCTCTGCCAGGTGTACACAGGAGAAGGGAGGATGAAGACTGACATTAGCCTGGGTCAGCGAGAAGGTGGGGAGCTGAGACCTGGGGGTGGAGATCCTAGGTGCCAGGAAGGGAAACCTGCTGTGAGGAGAGGGGAGGGGCTGCTGTGGAGAGAAGAGGCCCTGCCATGGGGGAGTGTGATGGGGGAAGGGACCCCTCCCGTGTGTGGGGAGGGAGACAGGACCTCCTATGGGAAGGGGTGTGAAGAATAGGGCCTAGCTGTAGGAAGGTGGGCTTGTTGAGGATGGTGGTGACAGGAGGGGACCCACCCTGCTGTGGAAGGAGGGATCTTGGTTGTGGGAATGTGGGGTTTGTTATGGGAGGGGTTGTTGTGGAGAAAGGGAACCCTGTCCTATGGGGACTTAGGGGACCGCTGGTGAGGTGAGGGCCTTTCCATGGACCAAACTGAGGGAGCCCATGTCCCCCAGGCCCTGCCATGGGGAAGACCAACAGCAAGCTGGCCCCGGAGGTGCTGGAGGACCTGGTTCAGAACACCGAGTTCAGCGAGCAGGAGCTGAAGCAGTGGTACAAGGGTTTCCTGAAGGACTGCCCCAGCGGCATCCTCAACCTGGAGGAATTCCAGCAGCTCTACATCAAGGTGGGCGGGCCGGGCGGCCGGGGGCGGGGCCAGGGAACTCCAGGGGGCGGGCCGGACGGGTGGGGGCGGGGCCAGGCAATCTAGGGGGTGGGCTGGACGGCCAGGGGCGGGGCCAAGCAATCGAGGAGGCGGGCAGAGACCGCAAGGCTGTGGCTTCGCCCCAATGCCCCGTCCACGCCTCAGTTCTTTCCCTACGGCGACGCCTCCAAGTTTGCGCAGCACGCTTTCCGCACCTTCGACAAGAACGGCGACGGCACCATCGACTTCCGGGAGTTCATCTGTGCCCTTTCGGTCACCTCCCGCGGCAGCTTCGAGCAGAAACTCAACTGGGCCTTTGAGATGTACGACCTGGACGGCGACGGGCGCATCACGCGCCTGGAGATGCTGGAGATCATCGAGGTACGCGGGGTGGATGCGGGAGGCCAGGTTGTGCTGGGGTGATGCCCCACCCGTCTTCGTGGCGGGTCCTCTCCAGCCCTCTCCAGGCACCCTACTGTCGGGCCTCAGGAGCGTCCTGGCTGCGCTCCACCTGTCCCCGCACCCCGCCTCCCAGGACCCAGTGGTTAACTAGCATTGGTTGGCTGCGCAGTGTAGGACAGGCCTCGTGCTAAGTGATTTACCCAGAAACCCTATGGGGTAGGTACTGACAGAAACCCCATTTTACGGAGGAGGAAACATATCAAGTGGTGGTTCATGACTCAAATCCAAGGACTCTGCCTCCAGAGCCTAAGTTTCTAACTCATTATATTTAAACAAATATGTATGGCGTGCCTACCATGTGCCAGGCCCTGTTCAAAGTTCTGCTTTATTAGGACACTCCTTCTGTAGCGAGAAGATTTTAAAACAGGAAAACAACCTGTGCTGGGGCGCCTGGGTGGCTCAGATGGTTAAGCGTCTGCCTTCGGCTCAGGTCATGATCCCGGGGTCCTGGGATCGAGCCCCGCATCGGGCTCCCTGCTCGGCGGGAAGCCTGCTTCTCCCTTTCCTTCTCCTGCTCCCCCTGCTTGTGCTCTCTCACTCTCTCTGTTAAATAAATAAATAAAATCTTAAAAAAAAAGAAAAGAAAACAACCTGTGCTATGTCAAGCAGTAAGTATTATGAAGATAAGCAAAGCAAAGTAAGGGGAGTGAGAGCGATGGAAGAGAGGTCTATGGGGTGAAATGTGAGCAGCAACCTGAATAAGGTGAGGGAGCTAATCATGTGAACGTCTGGGGGAAGAGTGTTCTATGCAGAGGGAGCAGTAAATACAAAGACACTGAGGTGGGATTGTGTTTGCAGTGTTCAAGGAGTAGCCAGGAGGTCAGAGTGGTACGAGAGAAGTGGGTGAGGGGAAGTCACTTAGCATCTCACAGTCTGGGGTAGAGATTTGACTTTATTCTGAGCGAGATGGGAAGCCATTTACAGCTCTCTATTCTCTGTGTGGAGAACAGACTAAGGGCACAGGAAGGCAGAAGCAGGGAGACCAGTTAGGATGCTTCCACTGCAGGCCAGTCAGGAGCTGATGGAAAACAGCAACGCTGGGAGAGCAGTGGAAGTGGTTGGAGACAAGACCTATTGCAATATTTGGGCTGACAAGATTTGCTGAAGGATTGGACATGAGGGAGAGTCTAGCATGGCATCAAGACTTTTGGTCCGAACGACTAGAAGGATGAATTTGCTATTTACTGAGACAGGGAATGCTGAGGGAAGAGCAGGTTGGAGGTGAAGAGTTGGGTTGTGGACGTGTGTGGTATGAGATACCCATTCAGTCTTAATGACCATACATCACCTTCCACTATCCTCGCCATCTCCCATGTTCTCCCTGCCCATCCCCAACCCCCTTCATTCACCCCTGATCGTCCCTGCCCGCTGTGAGTGTTCACAGTTCCTCCCTTGCCCCCCACCCCCACCAGGCTATCTACAAGATGGTGGGCACTGTGATCATGATGCGCATGAACCAGGATGGGCTCACGCCCCAGCAGCGTGTGGACAAGATCTTCAAGAAGATGGACCAGGATAAGGACGACCAGATTACGCTGGAGGAGTTCAAGGAGGCGGCCAAGAGTGACCCATCCATTGTGCTGCTACTGCAGTGTGACATGCAGAAGTAGAGGCTGGTGAGGGGCAGGGCCCCTGGCCAGGAGGGGCGTGGCCACCTCCCAACCTGATGACCTCTCAGGGGGAGGGGTACTCTAGCCTCACTTTCTGGCCCACCCACCCCTCTGCCCAAGCCCTTGCTCCCCTCAGTCGAGATCCTTGAGGGACCACCTCACCCTGGAAAAGAGACAGATCCTCAGGTATTCTGTGGTCTAGCCCCACCCCCAGTGTTGGCCCAGAACCAACATCCACTGGGCATAGAGGGTTGGCTTTTGCCCAAAGAGGCAGGATTGAGGAAGGGGGGCTGCGGGTCTGCTTTGAAATTCTGTTCTTCCTGGGATTACACTTTACAGGATGTGGTCTCACAGATCCCAGTTAAAGGGCCAAAGTGGGTCTGTCCTTTGCTGAGGACCTAAATTCCTTAAAGGTGGTCTCTGCCCTGCCCCCTCGACTCTACCTGGCCCCTCCGGCCCCAGCCTGTGGAGCGTTCATTCAGTCCTTTCTTCACCTAACGTTTGTTGAGCACCTGTTCAATGCCAGGCACCTCTGGGTGCTAAGGTCATGGTAGTTTACAAGACACATTCTGTGCCCTCTGGAAGCTCATATGGGAAGTGAGGCAAACTTCCAGTGGTCAGAGTCGCAGATGGGAACGTAGCACACAACTGAGCAGAGGGTGTGCTAAGGCTGGTTAGTTTGAAAGGAACCATTAAATCTTTCAGTTCACCTCCACCCAGAGCTGCAGAGGGATTAAATGAAAAGTATTTGGAAGTCTAGGAACCATTGTGAGTGGAAGGTTTAAGAAACACTGATATTTATGTAATACTTATTTTTTTAGTACCCTTTAAAAGAGCTAAAGTCATTTTGTTAGTTTAGGATATTCAGACATACTTTATATTACTTGGTTTCTTGTAAAATGATTAAATGAATATAGAAAATGCTAATTTTGTGGGTGGGGGGAGGGAGAGCTGAGAAAAAAAGAGGGAAAATACCAGCAAACTTACCAAATAACACTTTTTCTTGTCAGACTAAGTCCTGAGGTGTCACCATCAGCAGCTTCTGCTGCTTCCTTTTTAATGACTTCTTCAATTCAGTGAGCAGCTCTCTTATCATGCCCTAGCTCTGGTTGGATGCTGACTTTGGAAACAGAAAAAGACAAGGTTTGCTAAGAGTGAGACAAGTGTATCTTCCACATCTTGGTAGTTCCTTTCTGGATTTGGTATTGTTTCAAGGATGGGCTTGTTCTTTCTGCTACAGAAACAGAAGGAGCTAGAAGAAGAGGACCACCCAGCCACTGTTTAGGTTGCCCCACTGCATTTATGGACCAAATGCCTAAAAATGTGCTGGGGACATGCTCCATTTGAAAGGCTCTTTCTAACCCCAGCTCCTCAGTCTGCCAGGTAAATTCATCATCTTCCAGGTGTACTGGCTTTGCTTTCTGCTTTCTGCTTTTGGGTCAATGAGCTATACAGCTGCATGCTTTGACTGCCAGACAGTCTTGCTTCTTCAAGGCTTTCACTTTATTTTCGCCTATACTTGTGATCAGAAATTAGCTTTGATGTGCAGTGACAGATTTCCTCTTGAGCTGCTGGTGAAAACAGTCTAGTACACAGGTGCTGTCAGCCCAGGGTAGGAACAGGGAATGATTGCTGAGTCAGCGGTGGGAGATTGTATCTCTGGGAAAGAGGAAAAGCATGCCCCTTCTGAGTGCTCACCTGTCTTCCCTCTCTGCAGGTGGAAACTCTTGGGGATGCTGACCTTTGGCCCCGAACTCTATTGGACCTTCCTTCTTGCTGCCCTTGGAGGTAGCAAGGCCACTTAGTTGCCACTCTCTTTTTTGTCTTCTGCCTATGACTAGCCATGTGGTGAGGCTGGGAATTCACATCCTCAGGCAGTAACCAGCAGGTTTTTATCCAGTAATGCCTCAAGGAATGTTCCATTACTCTGAGGCACTGGTCATTAGGTGTATCTTGTGCTACTAGTCAGCACCACAGATACATTGATATCAGTCTGGCTCCGTGAGACTTCCAGTAGAGGCTTTTTACAAAGTGGGGTTCCCATCCCCCAAACGTTGAATCTAACCTAACTCACAATCACACAGAACTTCATAGCTTTCAAAGGCTTGACATCTACTCCATCTCATTCTATCCTCCAGCCTGGGGAAATAGAGATTTTTCATTCCCTTTCTCCAGTCTTGGGAAGTGAGGCACAGAAAGGGGGGATTCCCTTGTGCAAGGGCACGTGGTCAGGGGGTGAAACAGGCCAAGACTCGAACCCAAGGCTCTAAGAGGGTTTCTTCCTTCAGTTTCTCCCTCCTTGTCTCTCTGACTGAGTCATACAAAGTTGACTGTGGGGTAAGCTAAGTTAGTTTTGGTCTTTGACAAGCTTCCTGCTGAGAAGTTTCTGAGGTGGTGGTCTTCCAAAAAAGAAATAGGAGCTTGTTTGAACTTCCAACATTTTCAAGCATCTTGTTGTCTGCTTGTGGGCAGTTCTGCTAACAGGTCAGTGTCGTCCTGGGAAGCCTCTGACCCAGCACCCTGGAAGCATCTTGCACTATCTTTACCACCATATTCCTCCCTAAGAGAACTGTTTTTGTTTTTCTCCAGCTGGTGGGAAAGTCCTACCCGTGAGAGCATGTTTGATCATTCCAAGCTTTTGGACATATCCCGTGGGCGATATTTGCCAGTTAGGCCAAAGATTCTCAGACAGCCCAGTGGTGTGAACACATAAAGCCAGGCTGGGAACTGAGACCACCATCTTGTTGATGGGAAGAGCCACAGGCAGCCCAGGACTTGCTCCCACATGCTCCTGGATGTCCCAGGGACTGTGTGCTCAGGGGCTCCTGTGGTAGAGTATTGGCCCTGCCTTGAGAAGAGAGGCAGGCCTCCGATATCCTGTGCCAGCTATGAGGGACTTGCCATAGAGCACAAGGTAAGGAGACATTGAAGTATGACTCGCAGAAACACAAAAATATACAGACAGTGACAACAGTGATATATTCAAACTCTCCTTTTAAAGTTTTGTATCTTCTTGCAGCAAGTCTGAATTGAAAGGTTCCAGAATCTACCTCCTAACTGCATTCTGTCCTCCTTCATCCTTTTGGGCTAACTGATGAGCCCCTTATTTCTTATCTTTAAAAATCATCAACAAGGTCTACTTCAGATGGCTGCTCCAGTCCTTTGAACTATAGTCAGGGATATAAAACTTACCTTTAAATCAAAAGTTAAGAAAAAGGAAGCCCATAAGCAAAGGCACTGAATCATTTACTGACTGTTTCTAGAGGTAGAAGTTCATCCTGCTGCAGAGAGAGAGAGAAGGAGGCAAGGGAAGAGAGAGGAAAGAGAGAATGAGAGAACAAGCTGGGGTTTCCACACAGGGTAGTAAGCTGACACTGTAAATATTTTTACACAAAAATTTACTAAAGCAACAAATTTTCCTGAAGATCCACCCTGGGTGAGGTTTTGTTCTGACTTCAGAGATCACTGTGGAAGAAAGAATACATTTCTTACATATTTTATCATTTTTGAAAAAAAAAAACCTTCAAATCCTACAATTTCAAAGTCTCAGAAAAATATGGAATTTTCTTTCTGAAATTTTCAAGGTTTTCTTTTACCTTTGCCAGAAGGTGGGGCAGGACTGGGCCTCCCGGGGTGTTTGGCCCTTCCTGCTTCGTGGAGGCAGTGGGGGTGTGGAGGCCTGGGGGAAACGGGGAGCTGGGTGGCAGAGGGGGACATCCCAACTCATTCTCTTGTGCGGCCCCCTATCCCCACCCCATGTGCTGCTCCCGGCTGTGGCCGCAGTGACTGTCCTCACTGTTCAACCCTGTGCTGTATAGTGTGTTTTTCACTGACCGTGAATAAAGGTGTGACCTTTATTGAGGGCTCTTGCTCTTCCCTAAGCTGAGGTAGGGCTGGGGTACGGGACAGGGAGAGAAGAGGCCTGGGGGGAGCTCAACGGGGGGGTACCTCAGTAACCTCCTTGGGGCTGAGGGCCTTGTTCTAGCAAGGACTCTGGTTATGTGGAACAGAGACCCACTCAAGCTAGTTCAAAGAAAGGGGTGAGCAGATTACAAGGGACCCTGAAGAGGGAAAATCAAGAATGGCTGGGCCTCAAAAGGACTGGAACTGGCAACAGGGCCTCTCCATTCTCCTCTCAGGGTCTCTCCTCCCCTTGGCAATATTTGCATCTGTGTTCTTTTCCTCGGTTTCTCTTCAGACTTACTTGGTTTCCCTGCAAAAGTGGCTGCATCCCCAACTCTGTATCAGGACTTCCCGGCAGCTGACAACTCCCCTCTGCGTCAGTTAGTTCCAGTTTTCAAGCAAAAGAATCTGATTGGTTGAGCTTGGCTTATGGTGGGAGCCCTTGGTCCATTCATCAATGGCTAGACCAGGTGCTGATGCGTGGGCCTGTGGGCAGAGCAGTTTCCCCAGAAGGGAGCTAATGGCAGGTAACATTGGACTTAGTTTCTCCCTCTGTCCAGTAGAAGGCGTCATAGAGCCCAAACGAGTGGATAGTGGGGAGTGGAGAGAAAGGCCAAGAGCCAGGATTACAATTAGGCCATATGGTGCCCTTTGTGCAAATTAGGAAAAGACACCCCTTCTGGGTGAAAACAGCCTCCTAAGTATGCAGCTGGGCCAGTGGATGGCACCTTTGGCCTCATGAGAAAAGTATACCCCTTCTTCTGAATAAACACAGCCTTGTCATGCCATGGTGCACAGCTTGGCAAATGGAGCAGATCTTGGATTTCAGTCCCACCTGCCCTGCTGGTCAAGGGTGTTGTGTAGTGCGTAACCTCTTCCGCCATCCACGAGGAGACCAGCCCAGGCCCTGAGACCTCCTGGAATGGAGTTAGTGTTGATGTGTTATTCTTAGAATACCAACTCCCCGCCCCGCCCCCGCAATGGCCAGAGAGGCACTGTTTGTTGCAGGGAGTTGGGGGCAGTGGCAGCTGGAGGTGACTGCTTCCTCCTGGAACACTCAATTGCATTAACAAGGATTTTCCCAAGGACGCTTGGAGGGGGCCAGCTTCCTTGGCAGGAAGCAATTAGGACAGAGGAAGGAGGCTGACCTGGCCTCAGGGCAGCTATAAACCTCAGGAGGTGACTCAGGAGCCTGAGAACTTGGGGCTGCTGTTCCCAGCTGAAGCCTTACTGGGGGTGGTGGGGGAGAGTCTTGTTCCCTGCTTACTTGGGGTGCACAGGTCCAGGTCCTGGGTTACCATCTCCTGAAAGCTACCCTCCTGGTCTTCATCACCTCTAACCCAGGTTGGTCTGCCTCCTGCTTTCAGGCTTGCCCTCTGTGCCATCCAGCGGTCCCCAAGGAACCAGAGTGATCTTCCTAAAGTGCAAGTCTGACCGTGTCAACTCTCCGAAATCTCCCCTCTTCCTTCAGTGTGATAAGCTCCTTAAGAGTCCCTCAAGGCCCTGCAGGATCTGCCTGCCATGTGCTGACCTCCAAAGCCTATTCCTTCCTCACCTCCCCGTCCTTCACCCTGCATTTGAGCCACCCCGTATTGCCCTCCATTTCCCTAAGGCATCTCTCATGCTTCTGTGCTGGTGCACAAGCCATCGCCTCTCCATGGGTCACCCATTCTGTCTCACTGATGTCCTTCTGTGCGAAACCCTCCCAAGCCTCAAACAATTGACCCCTCATGTGGACACAGTCCATCATAGCTACCAAACAGCCTCCCATGTGATTCCCTGTCAGCTGAGCCAAGCACACTTTTAAGTCTCCAGTTTAAAAAAAAAAAAAAAAAGACAAGGAAATGAAGCCTCGGGGAATGGCAAGACTGCAACTTGAACTCGGGTCTTCTAACATCAAGGCTACTGCTTATTGTGCTTTCTTTGGCGGGGGAGGGAGGCAGGAGAAAGGTGAAGGGAGTATTCATGGAGTACGTAGCTTCTGCCCCAGGTCTTGCTAAAGACCAGCCAACAGGACCAGGCATGCTGGGGCAGGGCTGCCCAGATGAGCAGTTTCAGGTGCCGTGATCCTGGAGTCATGTGCAGAGGGGTGTGTTCCCAACTTATCCACCTGTAGAAGAGCTGAACCCTGAGGGGAAGCACTGGCCCAAGTTCAGCAATGCAGAGAGCCAGGGAATCCCTGCACCAAGCCAGTGGTCAGGGGGTGGTGGAGAAGACAGAGGCAATGGCCAGAAAACTAAGAGGGCGGAAAGAACAGTCTAGGATGGAGTTCTAATCCTTCCAAAGAGGGAGCTAGGGAAAGTTCTTAAAGGAACTGAACCTAGAGTCAGACAGGATCCTTAGAGGCTTACTCATGTCAGTGTGAGTAGGAGGACTACATTGGTCGAGATTTTTGGTTTCAAGGGAACAAAACCCAATTCAAACAAGCTCAAGCAAAAAGAGAGGCTTATTGGCTCCTGTAAATGGGAATTTGGGCACTGCTAGATCCAGAGGCTCAATGTTACACCCTCTCTCCCTCTCTGCTTCTGCTTCTCTAACTCTTTGACCTCACCGCCTACTCCAGATGGGCTCCTCCCACATTCTTTCAGCTGCCACAGGGAAAGATGGGTTCCCAGCTCACATTGCCCCAAATTAATAACCCCAGAGAAGAAAGAGCCAAATCTCCCAGCAACCCTAAATAAGAGTGCAGGACAGTGGCTCAGCAGAGGTCATAGGCTCATTCCTTGTTCAACTGCTGTGTCCAGGGAAATAAGGTTCTCTGATTGGTCAGGTCTAGTTCACATGCTTACTCCTGTGACCAGGGAGGCAGGGAGGTAGGGCCTGTTACTACAACTGACCTTTGAACAATGTGGGGTTTAGAGGCACTGACCACCCCTCGACCACTGAGCATTCAAAAACACACATATACCTTTGGACTCCCCCAAAACTTAATTACTAACAGCCTACTGTTGACGGGAATCCTTACTGACAACATAGTTGATGAACACAGATTTTATATGTTATCTGTATTATATACTGTATTCTTACAGTAAAGTAAGCTAGAAAAAAATGTTTTAAGAAAACCGTAAAGAAGAGAAAATACATTTATGGTACTATACGTATATTTATTGAATAACTTATTTCAATGTATTTATTGAAATATTTCAATTTCAATATATTTATTGAAAAAGTCTGCATTTAAGTGGACTCTCACACTTCAAACCCATCTTTTCCAAGGGTCAGCTGTAGAAGAAGAGGGTGGGAAATGTTGCTAGTCAGACAAAACCAATAGCCACCAACTTTTGGGGGGCATTGGTTAAAGTGATGTGGAGAATCTCACCGGGCTTTAGAGATGGACAGTATTGCCCAGCCTCCCCTGGGACTTGGGAAGCTGTCTGGACCAGAGGCAGCTCCCTGTCAAGGCAGCATGGTCTCTCTTTCAGGGGGTCTCTGCTGCCCTCTGCACATCTTTTCCCATTTTTCTCTGCTGATTGGCTCATTCTGCTTATAGAGTTTCTACCCCCTCTTAGCCTTATGTTGCACATAGCTGCAGCCTGCTGAGGCTCATCCAGGTCTCTGTGTCGAAGTCACATTGCCAAAGGGTAGGCATACTGGAGAGAGTTTGGGGCCATCTATGGAAACAATCTATCAAGTCTGGAGAAGGGCGAGTCTAAACATACTTACCCCAATCCTAAAAGTTTTTTATGATTTCCCCCTTCCTTCCACACAAGGTTTGGTTGGTTCCCCCCAGGACATGGTGGAAGCTGGGCATATCCCTCCATTCTGTACCCCCTTCCAGCCAGATGCCCTCCAGGCTACGCCAGTGTGTTCTCACGCTGCTCCCACCCATCTGTGCAGACGTGTAGGCTCACACAGAGATGCCCCTTGTCTGCTTCCTGACCTGTACCTTGGGACAGGTGACATTAGTGGCTGCACCTCGGGCTCTGAACCAAGAGGGGACAGTGCGCTGGAACTCCAGGATGGTGGTCCAGTAGTCTTTGTTTCCCAAGCTCCTTTTCTACCCTTCCTCTCTTCGCCACTTCATAACCACCCCTAGTTCTGCAGATGGAACCTGTGAGCGCGAGCCCCCTACTGGCAGTCCAGGGGCCAGCAAGAACCTGGGTTCGCAGCGCTGGGTGTCTCCCCGGTATGGGTCCCCGGCCAGGCTGAGGGGACCTGGTCTCGCCACTGACTTTAAAGGTCCTTCCGCCTTGGGGGGGAATAGCTGCCCAGCTGGGCCCTCTGTTGTGCGCCCGACTAGGAGCAGAGTCCTGCTCGAGGACGGAGCTGTCCATCCACCACCACCTCTCCCTCCGCAGAACGGACTAGGGTCTGCCAATGGATTCCCAGGGTCCTGGCACCAGAGGGCAAAAAGGCGGGTTAGCTTTTGGCGGAAAGGAGGCTAGCTTTTCATTTTCTCCTTTGAGGATTACCATCCTGGGAAAAAAGTTGTCAGGCCTCTCCTCTCTCCGTGCCCTCGAGCACCAGCGAAGACCACGATCCCTGAAATCCCGAATCCGCCGCAGCCCGCAAGCCCAGCTTCAGGGCCCCTGCTCCTGGGAGCCCGAGAGGCCAAACCCTCGCTAGTTACCACCCCCCATCCCGGCGTTCACTTGGGGACTCAGCTGCCCCCCAGGACACATCCAACATGAGCAGCCCGCCCGCAGCCGAGAGGGAGTTTAACAAACCCCCGCCCCCGCCACCCCGCG